TAAGTCAAACCACCATCATCAATTTTAATGAAATCCTTGTGGCAATCCAAAATATAAAATTTAATTAAAGTCACCGACAGTATAGTTCATTATTAATGTGACCGTTTGTTACCATATTCACTTCAATACAATACAATGAACTGAACCAAATCATCGCAATACAATTGATTTCAAAGTCAATTTTTAAAAATGGGTCCAAAAGAAAACTGAACAAAAGTAATGGCTAGTAATCAATAATACACTAATTGTAATTATAACAACCAAAATAGCATGGTCCAGATTCAATAATAACCCCAAAATTCACTTTTCTTCAAACTAGAACGATTAGGTGAATTTGAAAAGTTTAGACTATTTCATTTCACTAAAAATTATCGGTATAGTTGAGTTAAGCATATAAAGGAATTGATAAAAAGATCAACATCACAAAGGATTTTGACTTGATTTACTTTAAAGATATGTACATTTTCATAAATTTAATCCCATCCACATAGTTTTGTCCCCTAAATCCTGCATAAACATTTATAAATGAAGTCCAAATATTTCCATTTTTTAAACAATTATTTTGAAACTGGTTATCTCCCTTGAATTTTATTACTCATGAAACAAAAAAGATGAATTTTGAAAGCATTTCATCAATAAAATACTATTTTTAAGATAATTCTGCATACCAAGTGAATATAATCAGCATCGCATAATAAACAAAAATAGTTTAGTATTTCAGATCATGGCCTATGTATGAGTATACTATACACATGAATGTTACTAATAATAACAGAAGCTTTCCTTAATATACAAACTGAATATATCATACTTCAGAACATTGTAGTAATAGAGCTAAGATAGATATAGTAAAGCTCACAAAACCTAACTCAGTTTCATGTGTACTTAAGTCTGGATGACATTTTAAGTTCATATTTTGTGAGAATGTCACACAAATGTAGTTACCTGTTACCTCCCTTCACAAAGTTCATTAATACATAAACATTAGATGACAATTTACAGAAATCTGATCTAATTCATAAGCCAATACTTGGATGGGGGTAATCTTGGCTACAGGGCAAGTTACTTCTGAAAATGCATATTATTAAGTCAAACCACCATCATCAATTTTAATGAAATCCTTGTGGCAATCCAAAATAAAAAATTTAATTAAAGTCACCGACAGTATAGTTCATTATTAATGTGACCGTTTGTTACCATATTCACTTCAATACAATACAATGAACCGAACCAAATCATAGCAATACAATTGATTTCAAAGTCAATTTTTAAAAATGGGTCCAAAAGAAAACTGAACAAAAGTAATGGCTAGTAATCAATAATACACTAATTGTAATTATAACAACCAAAATAGCATGGTCCACATTCAATAATAACCAAAAAATTCACTTTTCTTGAAACTAGAACGATTATCTGAATGTGAAAAGTTCAAACTATTTCATTTTGCTAACAATTATCGGTATAGTTGAGTTAAGCATATAGAGAAATGGATAAAAAGATCAACATTACAAAGGATTATGACTTGATTTACTTTAAAAATATGTAAATTTTCATAAATTTAATCCCATCCACATAGTTTTGTCCCCTAAAACCTGCATAAACATTTATAAATGAAGTCCAAATATTTCCATTTTCCAAACAGTTATTTTGAAACTGGTTATCTCCCTTGAATTTCATTACTCTTAAAAAACAAAAAGTATTACTTTTGAAAGCATTTTATTAAAATAAAAGACTGCCTTTAATTTAATTCTTCATACCAACTGACTATAATCTCATACAAAACAAAGTATTTCAGATCATGGCCTACATGTATGTATGTATGTGTATACTATACAAATGAATGTTACTAATAATAATGGAAGCTTTCCTTTATAATATACAAACTGAATATATCATACTTCAGAATATTGTAGTAATAAGAGCCAAGATAGATATAAAACCTAACTCTATCTCATGTGTATTAAAGTCTAAATGCCTGTACATATACACCAAATACACTGAACTAAAAACAGAGGTACATTTTAGGTAAAGTCATCTACCATCTTCAATAGAAGACTTGATCTCGCTCTAACTCCACCATACATGTTATCTAGGCCTTCACATAATACCCTACATTTTTCAACACTAATTTCTATTGGTCGCTGACCCACCTGGGAATCTGTTAGATGCCTTAATAGAAAATATCGCGAATACCAAGTCGCGCGCTTTCCAACTGAAATGTGTAACTGATAATGGAAGAGCAAAGTTCAAGGTTTGCTCAATGTCAAGGTTGCTGGCATTTTCTGCTTTTCAACGATGACCCACTTCACATCTTAGTCTAAGCCTTTGTAATTTACTTTTTGTTCTTCCATTATGCTAGTAAGGTTGCATTTCTTTTGTTTTCCGATTGTTTTTCAACTAAAAAAAAAAAGCTTTCAACAGCCGTAAACAAATATATTCCTTTACGTGTTTGTATCATCTGTCTGTGGTAAAGGGAGATAACTAATTGAAAGTTTGAGAATTTCAGACTAATCTAGCAATGGCTAGATGTCGTAAAACTCACAGCTGTTGCTTTAGCAAAATGGTCTTCTATTTGATGTAGCAACTGTCAACATTCCGTGATGTCCATGTAGCAACATTTTATCTACAGCAGAAATCATCTTCATAGATTATAACAGTAAGTAAATAGGACTATAGCCTGCAATTACCAAAACAGGGAGTGCTAGATTGCATGGTCTGATTGTATATAAGTTTAAAGTATTTGTATTAAATAAGGTTTTATTTCACTTATCTTTGAAGGTAAAAACCCTAAGTACAGATGTACTAAGTGCAAGGAAGATTTAATGTGCAAATTCATCAAAATATAAATACCTTTCATCTTTGAATTCTACAATGTACAAGAAGCAACAAATCGAAACCAATTCATTACCGACATTCTCATTATGTTAGTGTTGTAAGCTAGTCCATCCATGCATAAATGAATATACATGTACACATCAATGACTGATCTTTTAATATAGATATCAATGACAAAACTGAACTTGCAATATTATTTACATTTAAAAATCTTGCCCTCGTACCAGTACAATGGCATGAAACATCAGTGATGATCTCATAGGTCTCTGAAACATGGGTTTCAGTATGATGTCTACCATCAGTCTTATAGTGGGATCTCTCGTTTATAACATAAAGGGTTTCGCACACTATGATCAGCGTGTCCCAACATTGTGTTCTGGTGATGTCCTAGCGCAATTCAGAAATAGGGGTAGGTCTACAATGCGATTTCAGGTGATGTTTCCATAGTTGACCTAATTACCGTAAGCGGTTCCACTGCTTGAGTTTACTAATCTGTCAAAATATTAAAGGTAGGCAAATCTATCAAATGTTAACAATTACATTAAGTGTGATGCACATGTTAAGTTACTATTAGGGATTTAAACTATGTATGAGTGAGCTTACATCTAAAACAATCCAAGAAGTTCCTTTTCCAGATGACCTACTTTCAATTTTTTTTCAATAGTGTATTGAAATAATATTTTCAGATATAACATTATCCATCAAATTGTTAAAAGCAACCCCAGAAGTCAACCATTTAATGATTGTAAGCAACATATTTTTAATCCTTGTTCAATCAATAGTACCACCAGTGCCATTAATTAGCAATATCAAACTGGACAATTCAATTGTTTTGCGGATTAAATATTTAAGCTTATAGAGGAAAAACTAGTTGCTTTAGATGCTTACAATCTCTTGACCAAAGAAGGAAGATAGTCTATTCAATAATGAATATCCACAATGAAGACTTTAATAATTCAATTTTTTCATTTAAACGTATCTCATATGATTGTGGCTATGCATATTTCTAAATAGAAAGGTGACCTACAGATGTAAATTCCAAAATGATTTAAAAAGTCATGTAATCAAAAAGATGTACTGTTTGTATCAAACAATATCAGAGTATTTCATACTTAATTTATTAATTTTAACAACCATGGGCTTCTGAAGGCTATAAATTCATTTTAATTGCAAAATATTAATAGCTTAATGACATTATTGAGCAGAAAGATAATAAAAATATCAAATTCATTCAAGCATCAATTGCTCAGACCATTTTGAATGCATTACCATGCGAAATCCTCTAAATTTATATAAGATTTTTGCTGGTAAGACAGCGTTTATTAAAACTAAATGCACAGTTAATAAGGCATTATAAACGAACAATGAAAGTAGGCACTGGGTACATTAATGTCTGTAACAATTCAAGCACACTGAACGACCACAAAATATAAACATTTATTGGCGGTCACTCCAACACAAAGTTGTTTTACAGGAAATTACACCAAAATTTACCAAAATAAACACCAGCAAAGACACTTTGTCAATGCAGATGGGATAACCTAAGCAAAACACAAAAAATACAATATTTTATAACAAAATATTGACCAAAATATCAGAATAAAGTAGAAAATCATACAAAATATGAATATTTACCAAACTATAAGTCAAAATATCAAAAATGGGCCCCCCAAGATATTGAAATTAACCAAGGTCATTTCAAAGACATGCATGTCTGGAACATTTTGTGATAAAAATTAGAGTGGTTCATATTCAATTATGGTATTTTTTTGCCAAAAATACATCCAGAATTGTAATAAAACTACCAAAAACAAAGATACTGTCATGTTATTTTGAAGCATATTTCTCCAACACGGGTAGGCAAATCTATACAAATGATGATATAATACATTCTCAAGAGTTCAAAAAACTCCAAAAGAGCAAAAACAAATTAAAAAAATTATTAAAAACAATTAAAATATCAAAAATTTCAATGAAGAAAATTTTTCAGGATCAAAATCAAAATTTGCAATATGGCGGCCAAGCGTCTCGTTGCAAATATGAATAAATCGCTTCAGATAAAATTATCAAATTCAATAAAAAGAGTTCAAAGTCAATTAATAAAGACAATGTTCATTAATCAGACCTATCAAGGCTCAGTTCTAAAGAGAAGTGTCAACACAAACCTTACTCATCGTTGCCAGTCTCGGTCCGTCATCATGGCGTCTGAGCAAATGTAACAATGAGGCAAATTCCTTTCTAATCACGTGTTACGTCTGTTCCAATCTACGTCAGAGATTACCCTAAAAGTAAAATTTCACGCATTTTGAGAAGATCTACCACATGAATTCAACACAATATGACATTTAACGGTTTTTCAACCAGAATTATTAAATGTCCAAAGGGCTACGGACCTCAGCTCATACAAAATGCTATTTGTCCTCAAAAAATGCACAACTCTTACTCCGTAAATCATTTTACACCCCCTAGATATTTCCAAAATGTAACTATTTTGAAAGCTTTCGGTCTATTTTACCCCAATAACAACTATAAAAGCAAACATACGTTTAACAAGGACTACATTTCTGCATAAAACAGGTAAATAATCTGAAATATCTTCTATAAAATGGCGGCCATTATTAATCTGCGGGCTGCGCGAAGCCGCAATGCATTATGGTTTTGTATTTTTAGACACGAGTGAACCTTCGTGTTCAATAGGCTGAGCGACCTGCTGTCTTTTCTTAGCGATTTACTTGAATGAATTGCAAATGGTAGAACACAAAATGGAAAATGGTGAGATGAAATGGAGTTTTATGGTACGTCAGCTCCAAACGGGCTATATTGCGGTCTATAGATTTACCCAAAACAACCCGATTTTGAATAAAACAACACATTGTAGTTGTTTATTGTTTTTACTCCGGGACAAGCTTCCTGCAGCTCCCCTCCCCTCCTGTCTTATTCTCACGGACCCTGCTTATGAAAAAAATGGTAGGGAAGAAACAGCCTGGGTTGAGCCAGTTTTGAGATCAAAAGACCAGGATCCACTACGATAACAATAAGAGTTGTCTTTCTTGCTTTGTTGTTCTTCCATTTATTTCCTTTTCTCACTTTCAGTATAAAGTTTAGGGAATCGCATTTATTTCCTTTTTTTCAGTAAAGTTTAGGGAATAGCAATAGGCATGTTAATCATCTATAGGCCTACCGGTACATATAAAACTAAAAAAGAGAAAACAATAAAAATGTGTTGTTTTATTTAAAATATTGCTCCACCAATATGAGAATCACTAAAACGAATTTTTTTTACGCAAATAAAAACAAATATCGCGTACGGTACAGGAATTTTAATATAAATACGGTATTATAATATAAATATTAAAATAAAAATAAAAATGAAATGACAGACATTCAATTTAAATGCAAAATGAAAAACTTTCTCTATTGAACCAAGTTGGGTAAATACATGTACATACTAACATAGAGGCCAGCAAATGATACCACTCACCTGAACAGAACGATTTTATTATTAATATTAAACAATTATTTATTCATTTTCAATGATGAATAAAGTCAAATTTCACTGCTAGAATAAATATATTGGCATAAAAAATGCTTAGGCCTAATATGTTATTTACATGAACACCTTTATTTGAATTGTTCGTTTGTGATTTCTGCGTATTATGTCTTGTCCATATAATACATTGTATTTGTTTTTGTGTAAATTATGTGTGGTGCAGTCCCCCTGCACTTACTATTACTAAGGCCAGTTTATGACTAATGCGGCAATTGTTGTTTTGTTGGGGGGGGGGGGGCGTGGAATGCGGGCGTTTTTGGTAGGGGTCATGAAACCCTATGGAAGTACAGTGCTATATTAATTTTATAGGATTCTATAAAAAAAGCTACTGAATAGGCTACCGGTAGGCCTAGCTCACTACGAACATTTTGTAGGATTGGGATTTTGTTTTTGTTTTGTTGTTGCTAACATGACCATAGATCTGAACTAATTTACTATAGTTTTGCATTTGTAAATGTGAACAAAATATTTGGAGGAGTTAATTTAAATGCGGGCACATGATTGTGTTTAGCTTAAAATAAAGTACCGGTATTGAATTGATTTGATCGGGTGTGTTACTAAGACGATTTGCAATGGGACAAGCGCTATGTGGTGATATTTTTGAAAGATAAAGTTTAGTCCTTTTTTTCATAACACGTCATATTATCCCTCAAGACAAAGCAACACATTAAAAGCCAATCATGAGGACAGTACAAAACCCCATTAATTTTAGAACTTCCAGAAAGAGTAAGCATAACTATCTAAATCACACGCTGTGAGTTTATGATAGCTAAAAATACCTTAAAAATAATTTTTTTAACCAATGGCGTTAAAATTGGTATGCTCGAATGTTATAGACATTGCTGGATTTAACTGGTAGCCAAGATTCATTAGAGATACTTTAAAGATACCTTAGTTAAGAGTTTAATAAAGAGTTGACCATTCTTGCTGTAATAATTCAAAAATAGATGATAAAAAAAGAAAATATTGAAAATTTCAGTCAAATTACTGTATTGTGAACGAAGTTGTCGCTGTTGGAAGTTTGAACTAGAAATAGGCTCAACTGTGTCCGAACCGTCTACGAGAATTACCGATCGTTTGATTGACAGGTGATAATTCCACCCACATATTCTCGATTATCAAGTAACATTCTCAATGGCTATGGTACCCTCGCTTGGTAGGCCTTTCATCACTAGTTTCCGGTAGTGACTAACGGTAAACATTAGTTTGGTCGGCCATTTCTTGATTTAATTTTAAATGCACGTCTGTTTAAATCCAAGCTATATCCAAGCCATCCGAGAATCTACAGAGTTGATTTTGAGCTTGTCATGTAAATAAAGGTCTAATTGATAATTTCTATAACATCTGAAACCTAAATAAAGACTTGCAATAGGCAGATTTAGCTCTTGCATGTCTGTTTAATGGTGGTCTGCTTCCACAACTTTGTTTTGGGTTATCTCCCTTTACACATGTGATCTGAACGCTAGAGAATGCCACTCGTAACACGGATGCTCATACCTCACTTCAGTGTGCCAAATTGTCACGGTACTCAGTACGGCCAGCTTATGTTTGACCCGTTTACAAATTACACTACGAAAAAATTAACCATGCCGTGCCTGGTACCGTGCCTGGCACGCTTAAAATTTGTAATGTAAACGGTGTTATTAATAAATCTAACTAGCTTCCATCACTAAGATTGTCAGTTATTTTGATATACATGTAGATAAAATCATTTGACACTTGGATCTAATTTTACCACGCTGCTAACTTATGCATGTTCTCTGTAACAGACAAAGATCACAGAAGTGTCATATCATTCTGTGATTTCGTACAGCCACCGTTTGCTACCATGGCCTATCGGAAATTCCCCTTCTTTTCTCTATGCACACGTTTATAAGTTTAATAATCCACTCTTTACATATCTTCTGTCTCCCTGCAGCAGTTTTGGTCATATCTGAAAGAAAACATGAATTTATACTACAATGAAATTTGATTTATATCTAAATATGTTTATGACAGATTTACTTAAGAGTTAACTGTTAAATATTTTTAAATCAATAAACATACTCATTATTTTCCTTTCTATAGCTTTGTGTAAAATGAAATCTGTTTTCCTGAGAAATCTGAATTTCAGACATTACATTCCGACTTGCAGCATAAAATTTGTTGAGTTAAACACAGACGCGCAGGTTAGTATTAGCAGGCACCCTTATTGTATGGCCAATGAGCTTACCGGTACAGCACTTCCCTGGGCTCAAATTATGTGTTGCCATAATAGATTCGGCAATACCCGAATACTCGGCTTCGCTAGGGGGTCATAACCCCGAAACCGGAAGTCGTAGACTAACGCTACCTGGCCTATGTTACTCCCCGGTCCGAGCTACCCCTATACCCCAAATTTCAGACTCGGGGCAGACCTAGTGTAGCCGCTAGCAGGATACCGGGCTTCGCTCGGGGGTCATAACCCCGAAACTGGAAGTGGTAGACTAACGCCACATGGCCTATGTTACTCCCCGGTCCGAGCTACCCCTATACCCCAAATTTCAGACTCGGGGCAGACCTAGTGTAGCCGCCAACCCCGAACAGACAGACAAACGACAATCACAAATATTAGTATATATACTAGCAGGATACCCGACTTCGCTCGGGGGGTCATAACTCCGAAACCGGAAGTGGTAGACTAACGCCACCTGGCCTATATTACTCCCCGGTCCGAGCTACCCCTATACCCCAAATTTCAGACTCGGGGTAGACCTAGTGTAGCCGCCAACCCCGAACAGACGGGCTTCGCTCGGGGGGTCATAACTCCGAAACCGGAAGTGGTAGACTAACGCCACCTGGCCTATGTTACTCCCCGGCCCGAGCTACCCCTATACCCCAAATTTCAGACTCGGGGCAGACCTAGTGTAGCCGCCAACCCCGAACAGACAGACAGATACCCGGCTTCGCTCGTGGGTCATAACTCCGAAACCGGAAGTGGTAGACTAACGCCACCTGGCCTATGTTACTCCCCGGTCCGAGCTACCCCTTTACCAAAAATTTCAGACTCGGGGCAGACCTAGTGTAGCCGCCAACCCAGAACAGACCGGCTTCGCTCGGGGGTCATAACTCCGAAACCGGAAGTGGTAGACTAACGCCGCCTGGCCTATGTTACTTCCCGGTCCGAGCTACCCCTATACTCCAAATTTCAGACTCGGGACAGACCTAGTGTAGCCGCCAACCCCGAACAGACAGACAGACAGACAGATACCCGGCTTCGCTCGTGGGTCATAACTCCGAAACCGGAAGTGGTAAACTAACGCCACCTGGCCTATGTTACTCCCCGGTCCGAGCTACCCCTATACCCCAAATTTCAGACTCGGGGCAGACCTAGTGTAGCCGCCAACCCCGAACAGACCGGCTTCCTCGGGGGTCATAACTCCGAAACCGGAAGTGGTGGACTAACGCCACCTGGCCTATGTTACTCCCCGGTCCGAGTTACCCCTATACCCCAAATTTCAGACTCGGGGCAGACCTAGTGTAGCCGCCAACCCCGAACAGACAGACAGACAGACAGACAAACGACAGTCATAAATATATCTATAGATAGATTAAGTAATTCAGTCAAATTGATCCACTATGAGCCGAGAAAGAAGCGGGTGAAAATTTCGCATAGTCTCGGTCATCATTACTAAAATCATTAATATAAACAGCATAGTCTCGATTATCCACTTTTATTGATTTAATTATCCATAGCCGTTAGCGACATATAGGAATCTAATCCAGCCAACATCGAAGGCTAGCCTTGACATCGAGAGTTTATTATGGTCTGGATAAGTTAATTAATGTCTAATTGATAATTTAGATAACATTTCAGGCCTAAAGAAAGACTTGTAATAAGCAGATTTTGCTCTTGCATAATGCATGTTTAATTTATCATAATTTTGCTTTAAATCCTTCTCAAAACATTGCAATTGTCAGGGAATAGCCGGCTATAAAAAAAATCGACCAAAAGAGGTCATGTTTGTGTCACGTGACACAATGGGTGCGAAGTCGGGGGAGAATTCATTGCATACACAAGACGATGTTGCCTTTATCGCTGACTATTTATTAAAAATATCGAAGCCTAATT